CATGGAGTGCACTGCCCATGCCCATGCTCCCCCCCCCGTGCCCACCTTTACCCTTTGGGGGCATCTTCATTCCACAAGTGAGGTAAAGGGGGGTGGATTTACTGGGGGGTAGGGGAGATACTTGCACCAAGGCTAAGGCATGTGCATACTTTGGGGGGGGGGTGGGGGAGGAAGGAAAGCAGGGCAGGGCAGGGCAGATGACTGGGGAGGGCACTCACGTTGCTGGTGGCACAGAACTGCCCCTGCCCATCCTTGATCTCGGGAGTGAACTTCTGTAGTAGTGCTTTCTGCACCCGCCAGATGGGGGGTGGCTCCCGGCCTGTCTGCAGTGCCAGCTAGGGGTATGAAAGGGGGGGCGTCACTCCCTTCCTGCTAGCCCCCAAACCTGCCTCCAGCTAAGCCAATGCCCCTCACTCTTGCCCTCAAGCCCCCTGCTAGCCTAGGCTCTTGGCCCCCCACCCCAGCCCTGCTGGTGCCCCTCACTCCTAACTCTCAGACCCCTGCCCTCCCAGCCCTGACACCCTGCCCCACCCAGCCCTACCAATGTCCTTCAGTCCTGCCCCACAGCCCCTAGCCCTAATCACAACTCCTAACCTGAGCTCACATAGCCCTGATACTACCCCTCACTCCCAACCTCCAGCTCTCTGCTCCCAGCCCAGTCCAGCCCCGACCTCTGCCAGCCCTGCTGTCGTCTCTCACATCCAATCTACAACCCCCTGCCCACCCCCAGCCCTGCCAGTGCCCCTCACTTCTGCCTCCCAGCCCCACCCCTGGACTCCTCTAGACCCTGCTGGTGGCTTCTCATTCCCCTGGTCCTCAGCCCTGCCCAGCACCTCCTCAGACCCGTCCCCCAGCTTGGCCAGTGCCACTCATTCACCAGCTTCTTCACTACTGGTAGCCCAGCCCTTCCAGTGCCCCTCACTCCTGACCTGCAGCCCCCTGCCCCCCAAGCCTTGCCAGTGCCCCCCACTCCTGACCCGCAGCCCTCTGCACCTTGAGGGCCTGGATGTCCTCAACCCGGATGACAAACTCGTCCCGCTCACGGAAGATGCCCTCGCCCCCACTCTCAGCCTCATCCTCATCTGTCTCCCCGCAGATGGCTGCTGTCTCCTGCTTTTTGGCCAGGTGCAGCGGCCGCGAGTCCTCGGGCTCCTCTTGCTCAGGGGAGGCTTGGGCTGGGGGCTCCTCAGGGGGTGGCAGCGGGGGAGGCTCCTTTGGGGACACAGGGGAGGGAGCTGGAGGGAGCTCTTGCTGGGAGGTCTCCGAGGGGGCGTGGCTGGGCAACTTCTCCTCCACTGGGGGGGCATCTGTGGAGGGAAGGGAGAGCTAGCATGACAGGGGGTGGGGTGACCCCCCTACCCACAATCCTCTGGGGCAGCTGAGCCCTTCACCCACAGGGGACCCAAGGGAATTGGATGGGACAGTTCTGGCACCCCTGACTCTTATGGGGGCAGAGATCCCCCCATCTAGGGTGGGCTGGAGAGAACCCCTGGGGCACTGGAATGAGGCACAGCTCCTGTGCTGGTGGGGGGCAGCCCCAGGGGTCAGGGCAGTACTACAAGGGGCCGGGGGGGGGTGGGGGGAGGTTTAAGACTATAGGCAAGTCAGGCTGGCAGGGCCCTCGGGGTCAGATTGAGGCCAACTACCATGCACATTGAGCCCTATCTGATCCACCCCAGACAACTGCCTGTTTAACTTGTTCTTAAAAACACACAGATGCACACACAGACCCAGAAAGACACTGATACACACATGCAGACACACACACACACAGGCATACAGACACAAATGTTGACACACACAGAGGCATGGACACACACACACACGCACGCATACAGAGGCACTGACACACACACGGGCATACATACACAGACACAGACACACACACGCACGCATACAGAGGCACTGACACACACACGGGCATACATACACAGACACACACACACGCATACAGAGGCACTGACACGAACGGGCATACATACACAGACACACACACACACACACACATACAGAGGCACTGACACACACACGGGCACACAGACAAAACACAGGAACTGCCACACATGTACAGGCACTGACATGCACGCAGAGGCACTGAAACACACATGCATGCAGACATTGACATAGACACAGGCACAGAAAGACACACACTCATACACACGTGCATACAGAGATACATCTCTGCCAGGCCCCAAATACCAAAACACACCCTTTAACCTGCCCCGGCTAAAGCAAGGGGATGAGAGCCACTGCAAGGGCAGGGAGTGGTTGTAAAAGAATCTCAAGAGACCCAAGGCAGAGGACCGTGTCTCTGCTACAAAGGAAGGCAAAACCCCCACAGACTGCACTAGTGGTTCTCAACCTTTTTTAGATTTAAGGCACCCTTGGAAAACTCCAGCTTCTAGGCTTTCCCGCATGTTTGGAGCACAGAGAAATAACAACAATTTTGTTGCAGAGAACCAGAGATCTCACAGCAGGGCAGAATATTTGGGACTCTCAGGACACCTGTTTGAAATCTCAGGGTTGACCTGGTGAATCACGTGCAGGTGTTGGTACCCCAACAGCGTTCATATTGCATAGCATGCCCATGGCACCCTAAAAAGGATTTCATGGCACTGTAGTTGAGAACCACTGGTCCATGTTGAATTGACTAGGGGTTCGTTAAATTCCTCCCTGACCTCAACTACGGGGATTGGTCTGACCCCAAGTAGATGGGCAAGACCCTGTAGCACGGGTGTCTGGTGCCTTGAGTCGGTGGGGGGGCACATGCCCCCCTCCCGGGGTTGGGGAGTTCCCCAGTGGCCAATTCCACTGACTGCAGGGGGGCCAGTCTCACTCACAGTAAAAGTGGTCGTACCACTCCCAGAGCTCTGCGGCTGCTTCCAGAAGTGGCACGGCCACTTTTGCTGGTGGCTCCACTCCCTGGCCGGCGCTCACTGGGGGGGCACTGGTGCTCCTGCTTGCCCCCCTGCCTGCCGGCTACACAGGGAACGCAGCCTGACAGGGGGTGCGCCAGCGCTCTTAGGGGGTGCAGTGCACCCCCTACGTGTCGCCCCTGCTCTCTAGCCAGGAACCTCTGGGTTTTAGTCCCAGCAGGAGCATTGGCACAGCCCAGTCCCAATCCCCAACCTTGGCTGAAGCCAACACCCAATGCCTCTGAGAAAGGAGGAAACCCCCCTGACACCTGTAGCAACAGAAAGGGGAATGATTTCTTTCCAGCCCCATGTGGCCAGCAGAAAAGCCTGGAGAAAAACCAAGTGCCCTCCACTCTGCTCTGCACCCTGGAGACAGCCAGGCGGACTCCCATGCACCGTGGGATCGGGACAGCCCCTGCATGGCACTGGAGTCTCCAAGTTGGGGGCACCATGCATGCCATCATGCAGGTCCAAGGCGGGGGAAGGCATCCTTTGGAGGGAGTGGGGTACCTACCGGCCCCGTCAGTGTCCTTGCGGTCAGTGGGGTCGTAGAGGGCAGAGATGGCTGAGGAGATGCTCTTCTGCAGGTCTTGGTTCTTGCTGACCGAGTCCTCCTCATCAGAGGAGAAGGATGGCAGGGTCTCCAGATTGCGCTTGAGCTCTTCGTCTAGGCGCTTGCAGGGACTGGTGCAGCTCATGACCAGCCCCTCGCTCTCGGATCCGTCCAGCCCACCAGGCAGCATGGGGGGCTGGGCCACGCCAAAGGGGGGCTGGGCGGCTGCAGAGGATGAGGCAGAGGGGGGACGTGGTGTCTTGGAGGGGCTGGTGGCTGCTGTGGGCAGCTGCTGCCGCTTGCCAGACTTGAGGAAGTCCAGGAAAGAGGCCATGAAGCCTGACTTCATCTCCGGCTGCTTCTCCTCCACCTCCTTGATCTTCTGCTTGATCTTCTCCCGTGTCTGGCTGCTGTCCAGCCCGCTCTCGGCTGGCGCCCCGGGGGGGGGCGCCGCCGGGGTGGCGCCGGGGTGGGGGCCCCCGCCGCCTCCACTGGGGCCCCCTCCCCACTCTTGGGCACTGCCAGCTTGATCTGAGAGGGTGGAGGGGGGTCACAGGTGGTGATTGGGCCTGCACCCCCGCCCCGGCTCTCGATGCCTCCCCCCACACATGGCCCTGTTACCAAGGCTCCCAGCCCCCAAAGACCCACCCCTTTCCTGGCCCTCCCAGCACCTGGCATGTGTGTCTGTGCCCAGTAGGGACCCCAACTCAAAGCCCTACCCACACAAGCTACTTCCTATAGCCCCCCCACCCACCCCGCCCCATAGGCCTCTCCCTCCCCAAGACCCTCCCTCACCAGTCTTGCCCA